TTCTGTGCTGCGCGGCGATCTTGTTTCGCTGCCTGCGGCCCCGTTCATTGCTGGCTCGCGCCGTTATCAGTTTATAGTTAAAAGCTTCCGCTGCGGTTTTCCTGTTTGGCTGGGCGCAGGTGGCCCGTTAATTAGCGGCGCTTTCAGTTCCTCTTTTCCTCGCTAGCTACCACCTGTGGAGTTCGCATGGTCTGGCTGCGAGCTTCCCCGAAGCCCCGTGCTGACCGAACCTGACATACCGCCCCCCTGAAGACAAGTCCCCCTCTTAATTGGGCTACTAGGGTGCTGCCCCCCCCCACCTGCCATAACGGTGTGCCTTTCCTTGGCTTGGGGCTTTGGCCTTACCATGGCCGAGTCACTTACAGGACGGGTCCCCGAAGGTTCTCCTTCCCCTCCTTCCCTTCCTTTGCCGCTGCGCACGTCGAGCAGCTGGCCACGTACTCCCTCGTATCCCTCCGGAGAGACGGCCACCAGAACTGTTCACGCAGGAGGTGGAAAGTCCTAACAAACCCACAGTGTCCCGTAGTGTCCTCGGTGTGCCCTCTCCGGAGCACATCCACCCGGCAAGCTTCTGGAACGTAGAGCCTCCCCTTGTGCTCCCAGCAGGTCCCTTGTTTTGTCAGGGAGTCCTTGTTGTTTACTAACCAGGGGTCTCCCTCGCTCGCCTCTGCACAGCGCCGCCTCAGCTCCGGCTCGGCTCCCTTCCCCTGCTTCTCCCTTTGGGGTTGGGCTCCGCCTTTCGCCTCCAGCTGGGTCGTCCTTGTTGGGTCTGTCAATTCGAGTGGCGGCTAGTGTCCTACAACCTTCCAGGGTCCCCTGGCCGCGGCCAGGTCCCGGTCTACCGCCAGTTGCTTCACTCACGCTTGGCGCGGACCAGTCGCCTCCCGGCGCCGCTCCTGCCCCCGCTCTTGATGCCAGTGTGATCGCCGCCTGCTTTGCCACGGGGCCCTCGGGTCCCGCTGCCACCGTCTCTGCTGCAGCCGACCCCTGCGTTGCTGTGGGGCCCTTCGTTGTCCATGCCACCGCCACCTCGGTGGTCTCTGACCCCTCTCGTTTGTCGGTCGCCCTCGGCGCCGTCCTCGTATTCGCCTCACGTGCGGTTGGTCGCCCGGGCCCTGCTGCTGTCGCTGCTGTCGCTGCTGCGGCCTGCCGGCCCTCGGCTCTCCATCGCGCAGTCACCATGCCCAGCTCCGTGGGGTCCTCAGCTCCCGCGCCGCCTCCGCAGCTCGACCTGGCCTGCTCGGTGGTGCCGTCGAATCGCACCGTCTCTGCTGCCACGCTCTCTCATGCACTTGCCGCCCCGGCTGCTCTGCCGGTCTCCCTCGGCGCCGCCCTCACCTCGTGTGCAGTTGGTTGCCCGGGCCCCATTGCCGTCGCTGCTGCAGTTCGCCCAGCCGCCACCTCACCGAGTTCTGTGGGGCCCCCTGTTCTCGTGCCACCTCCGCGGCTCGACCCCGTCTGCTCGGTGGTGCCACCGAACCGCACCACCGTCTTGGCCACCCAATCGATGTGCGGGTTCTGGCGCGTAAGCCATGCCAGCCCCAGC